GATTAGAAGGAGTCAGGCGCAGGAGGGTAAATCACAGAATACAGAGTTTATTCCGTAATACAGTGTTACGCAGAATAGCGTCAACCAGAACAGGCACACGGGGAAATTATACCCGGCAATACAATATACACTGAGCTCAACCAAGCTACTCTCTCTTCACAATAAACAATCACCCACAAGGACAAGGGGGCAGAGGGAACACTTATACATGTACTAAATGAGGGGATATGAACTAGGTGTGTGTAATAGACAAAACCGTTGCGCCTGGCACCTACTACCATACCCCATTCAAAGGCACTTAAATATTTTGTCTTCCCCATTCACCCTCTGAATGGCACACATACACAATCCATGTCTCAATTGTCTCAAGGCTTAAAAATCATTCTTTAACCTGTCCCCTCCCCTTCTTCTACACTGATTGAAGTGGATTTAACAAGTGACATCAATAAGGGATCATAGCTTTCACCTGGATTCTCCCGGTCAATCTGTCATGGAAAGAATAGGTGTCCTTAATGTTTTGTATACTCAGTATATATTATCACCAATCAGGGTTGGGATCATTTATTTGATCTTATTCACTTCGGAATTAACTCAAATGTAATTCATGACTGGAGATGGTTTTGACAACAACTCTGTCTTGTGGACAAGGAGTCTGTGAGGTCACAGATATGCAGACATAATGTAATATCATGTAACATCTGGTGGCCTGGGTATGACTAAAGTAAGCATAAATGAGATTGGCATAACTTGACTCATGTCAGATTAGTTTGTTCAGAATATTGTTAGCCTATCTAGAAAGAGCTACACTAACCACACGGCTGAGTGTGGTTGCTCTAATGGCCGTGAGATTTTCATCAAAAGCCCTCCAGGCAGATCGAGTAGTTTCGATTCTGACCAGTGTCTCAAAGAAGCACCAGACACTCCAAACACCACTTATCAGACTTAGGCCAGACTATCAGCTACTGCTACAATCATCATATTGTAAATTGTGCGGTCTGGGGGCTGTAGATTATGGGTTATAGACTGTGTGTGATGCTGTAAAACGTTGTTGACTCATTAAAAGTGAGGGTGATTGGCAGGACTGTCAAGACTGGGAATGGGCACACTGGGCATAGAGAAGAGTGGGTACTATCTGAGGAATGGGCACACTGGGCATAGAGAAGAGTGGGTACTATCTGAGGAATGGGCACACTGGGCATAGAGAAGAGTGGGTACTATCTGAGGAATGGGCACACTGGGCATAGAGAAGAGTGGGTACTATCTGAGGAATGGGCACACTGGGCATAGAGAAGAGTGGGTACTATCTGAGGAATGGGCACACTGGGCATAGAGAAGAGTGGGTACTATCTGAGGAATGGGCACACTGGGCATAGAGAAGAGTGGGTACTATCTGAGTCACTAAAGTAAAGGGCCCAAACACAGTATGGACATATTGGATTTCAGAAGTTCAGAAACATTGATGGGAGCCTCGCAAAGTGTTTGCAAACTACATACAGAGAAACCTGTAGCCTTGTAACTGTTCTAAGGCAAAGAAAGACACTATGTTCTCTGGGGTCGAGGACAGACATGTAGTGAAATGTGTCTCAGCTCTTGAATCCCAGCTCTCTACAGAGTCGTGACATGGGGCACCTAGTGATAATAGCTCAGTTAATAACTAGAGGAACCATTAGTGATGATAATTAATATTGTATGTCTGCGTCAACGTTAGAATGAAATCTATTACATGAACTATGTACAGTTTACATTTAGACTACACATTGACCCTTGACCTTGGATAATTGAACAGAGTATGTTAATCATAAATCTCATAGAAATTCTGTATTTTAAAACATGCATATTTCTGTCTATTAAATGCATTCAGGTGAGCAACAGTAACGTAGCAGGGATTATTTTAATAGGACCTAAAGACTGGGACTGACACCCACACACACACACACACGCACACAAACACACACACACACAAACACCGCTCCATCCCGACTGAATCTTCATAAAACAGCGGCCGAACTGAATTTAAGTTCCTATCAAAGGGCCCTGTTTCAATTCCCGTCTCTCCTCTGCTCCAGCGATAATTATCTCCATTATTCTATTGACGCAGGGGCCACTGGAAAGCCCTTTAATATTTGACAGGCTCTTTGTTTCCTAGCCGGCTCTAGCACAGACACACACGCTTCTTTTCTCCCTAGAAGCACAAAAGTCTGGGCCTGTTCCCCCCTCCCCAAACACACACTCCCAGACCCCCATATGGGTTTCATTGCTGTTGCTCGGGGCTCATCTATTTTGCTAACTAATTCACAGTGCTCAACATCCCTGCCGATTAATTAGGCAATCAGTCTGGAGCCCAAGTCACTGTCACAGAATGAAGTGTCCCTCTCTGCCTCACGTTGCCTTTACATTTCCAATATGAGACCTTCATGGAGCTGATGGTAATGGACTCCTAGAGGCCACAACCCCAAGCTCTTCCTGCCATAGCAGGCCTATAGAAACACACTACTGCACACTCACCAACTACAGTACTAACGCTGCACACAATTGGTCCTGTCGATGGTAATCTAACACATTTTAAATAAGTGTTGGTCAGTTCACCAGCGCACATTATAGCACTGTAGCAGTTTTCATAATCCCCCTGACTCCCTCACTACTACCAGTAAACACACACACACATCTCTTTCTCTCTCTCTCTAAATTAACTCACGTCATCAGAGAGGATTAGTAATGCTTAGTAAAAACTCAGCAAGATTCCAATATGAACAGAACTGTTATTTCAGTTTAGGGACAATAGGTTGCAAAATGAGAGAACATCACACACAGGCTGCGACTGACTGCTCATTAGATTGTTGATTCATAGCCACACATTTCCCCCTGCTGGATAGATCCGATAATGAATTAATCCAAAGAAAAACCCTTCAGATCAGGGTGTTGGCTACATGTGCTGGCCTGTGCATGAGGTGGGCCTATGTTGAAACAATAGGCTCATGGTAGATGACATGCCTAAACATGATTTATTGAGCTCATTTTATCACTTTATTATAGCCTTGGCTCAGTCTATACCGGTATCACAATTAGGCCTACAATCTGTTTTTATTGACCATGATTGAATAATTGGTTTCACTTCAATTCGAAATGTCCACTGAACAGTAGTAGCCTAGCAAATATTGCAGATTGTTCATTGCCCAGAAATATAATTTATTTGATATAGTCCAACAGAAGACAAGCAATACAAAATACATTTATAATCTTAATTAATGTTTTATCTGGTCTATATGACAGATGTTAATAAAGAACATAATTTTCAAAGGCTACATTTATTTCCATAAAATTCTAAGGTACAAATAAAATATGTAGCCTAACAAGCTATTGAATACACTAGCTAATACATTGTTAATAGCTAATATATTGTTCATTGTATGAATTGTTCATTGGTAGTTGTATTGAATTCAATAGCTAATACATTCTTAATTGTATTAATTGTTCATTGTTAGTTGTATTGAAAACAATAGCTAATACATTGTTAATTGTATTAATTGTTAATACATTGTTAATAGCTAACACTTTGTACTAATACATTGTAAGCTATTGAATACAATAGCTAATATATTGTTAATTAATTTTTTATCTGGTCTATATGCCAGATGTTAATAAAAAACACAATTTTCAAAGGCTACATTTATTTCCATAAAATGCCTATATCGGATATAATAGGTGCAAATAAAATATGTAGCCTAACACGCTATTGAAGCCTACTTCTGTTTTCCCAATTAGTGCTGCACAATTAGCATATTATGTAGAGTTGTTGCAATGACTTTACTTTCGTTCCAAGAAAAAACTTTCTATGGGAATAATGAATTTATTGTTTATGGGTAGAGTTCAAATATCTTTGAAGATGACTCTTCAAAGCATTTAAAAGTGCAGGCTCCACCAAATATCGTGCAACGTCATCATAAACTCTCTTTCACACCTTTTTGACATCAAATAGTTCCTATAGACCTACTTTGTTGTGTCTTTCTTCAGATTCTTCTAAGAAAGAAGTAGGCTAGTTAATAGTCTATGAAGATTTCTGTACAGTCAATGTAAATCCCTGTAGCCTAGCTAGTCTCTCTTCAGAGGATATCCATCATATAGCAAATAATATCTAGCCTACGCCTATAAAGATAATATCCAAGAGATGCTTAACACAAGGAGAATGCATAGGTCTACTAAAAATAAATAGGCCAATTCCATTTCGTCACTAGCATGTCATTGCAATGTAAAAGGAACAAACAGAAAGCTATAATAAATGTGTGTGATTATAAGGTTGAAAAGACTGTCTCATTGTCATGCCAGAAGGCTCATACAAGTATGTGTTATCTGTGATGGGATAAAATAGGTTATAAATACTGTGATTATAAATAATTATCATATTGTAGACCTATACAATCTGAGCACTGACATTGTATTTTCGTAAAGAGAAGTTGGGTCAACTTTCTAGATTTCTTAGGTGATAAAGAGATTACTTCCTCTTTTTATGACGACCCATCTAATAAAAAGGGCATTGGAGTGATTAACTCGTGTGTTGTTCAGTCCCCATTCCCATTCATCAAAGCGCAATGTTCAGCTACTAATCTACTTAACTAATATTATCGTGATTCCTTATCAAAGAGATCTCTGATAAATAACATTCAATGGAGAGGTACTAAAGTTTTAACACCTTGCCCACTCCAAAGAGCCGTTGGTTTCGATAGCCTACACAACGACCTTGGCCTTTGAACTCTCTGTTCTCCAGCGGATCACACCGTCACTTCAAAAGGCCGAGGTACGACAGAACTCGTCAAGAAAGACACAGGGTTGTTATAAGTGTTCTCACTCCAGCAGACAGCATCTCACCTGAGGTATTCACAACGGGACGAGCTGGGAGAAGGAGCTCTACCCTACCTATCTGTCTCTTACTACAAGAGCTTCACTGACTTGAATTTTACAGGTAAATAATACCTTAAAATAACTTACTTGGAAATATGGAAGGACTCGCTCTGGCTTTCTTATTTGCGCTTCTGGTGGACTTGATCAGTGTGGTTGGAGCGGAGAATTTCCCCGGGAACCGTGAGGCTTTCTTCCACGGCATTCGTGGGTTTTCCCGGCCAAGCAGAGGTCACAGGCACCCTGTTCATCACTCGAACAGGTTCCCACTCTACATGATGCAGCTCTACCGGACTCTACTCGAGGGAGACACGGCCAGGGCGCCAACTGTCAGCACCGCCCGGACCAACAGCGATGACAACCCCCGCCTTCACGACTCTGACTCGGTACTCAGTCTGGTTGCCAAAAGTGAGTATTGTTATTTTACATTTTAGTCATTTAGCTGACGTTCTAATCCAGAGAGATTTACAGTTAGTGAGTGCATACATTTTTCATACTTGCCCCCCATGGGAATCGAACCCACAAACCTGGCGTTGCAAGCGCCATGCTCTACCAACTGAGCCACATGAGACTTACAAAACACTTACTTCACTTAGTTTATATCGTGGATTTTTTTCTGTTTAAAATTAATTACATTATGTTTTGGAGATGTTTGAAAGCACTTTTATGCACCATAATTGGACACACTAATTCAATGTGAAGTCATATTTGAACTATTATGATTGCATAATTCAATGTACCCTCAGTAAACAGTAAATAAACAGTGATTTGAATTTAGGCTACATGCCTACTGCGCGTTTTGATTACTTTGCGCTTCTCAATTATTTTAGCACTTGGAAATCTTATACAATGCTGCTTATTGTGAAGAGCCTAGCCAATGCATAATTTCAGCGCGTATTATTTAAAAGTGTGTATACTAGCCCCAGGCTGTCTGTTATAACAGTGTCAGGCGCGGAGCAATACACGCTGCGACAGTAACAACATTCTACTTTATCAACTGCTTATCGCATGTCAAAAGAGGACGTGTGAAAGCTGTCTTGTGGCACGCATTTTTCTTGCTCACTGTGGGCAACAATAAAATGCATGTGACACTATCTGGGCAACAATAAAAGGCATGTGACACTATCTGTGATTGTAATGAATGGGACATAATCTGATAGTCAAAGAGGTGAAAGAGAGAGGATTGCACACTTTCATAATCATAGTCTGCATCATGCATTGCTAACTGATATTCTATGTTATCTCTCCAGGTTGTCACCAGAGCGGTGGGAGGTGGTCTGTCACCTTTGACATGTCCTCCATCTCTGCAAGTGACAATGTCCAGCGCTCCGAGCTGCGGATCCGCCTGCCTGCCTTCTCTGCCTCTGAGCGTGTCACTGTGGACATGTACCACTCCCAGAGATGCTCCTACTCCAGCCCGCCATGCCCAAAGGAGAGCCTCTTCCTGGGCTACCTGAAGGCAGAGCCAAGCTCCCTGACCTCCACATCCAACTGGAGGGTGTTTAACGTCACCGCCCTGCTCCACTACTACTGGCTGCACCAGAAAGGCTCCGCAACTGGCCAGGAAGAGAGAAGGCCAGTGGAGAGAGAGGAGGAGGAGGGTCAGGAGAGGGTCCTGCACCCCACAGCCGACCGGGTTATGGTGGTGGTCTTCTCCAAGCACCAGGCAGAGAAGCGGGCTCCCACCCTCATCCACACCGCTGAGCACTCCAAGTACGTCACTCTGGACTGGGAGCAAGCTGTAGCTGGGGCCGATCCTGCTGTCAGCGTAGAGGTAGAGGGCGGAAAGGGAGCCAGTCGCAGGAAGAGGCACGGGCACCACCAAAGAGCAGGAGTGGCTGGGGTGGCCCCTGGCGTGGCCCCCATGGAGGAGAGGAAGGACCCATTGTGCAGGAAGGTGGACATGTGGGTGGACTTTGACCAGATTGGCTGGAAGGAGTGGATTGTTTACCCCAAGCGCTACAACGCCTACCGCTGTGAAGGCAGCTGCCCTACCCCAGTAGACGAGACCTTCACCCCCACCAACCATGCTTACATGCAGGTAAGACTGCCAACATTACATGATCACTGCTGAAAACGAACATGTTTGAAATAGAGCCTTTGATTTGTTTCCTATTACAATATTGCATTTTCAAATTAGTTTATGATTTCACTTGCACTAACATCTCTCTCTCTCTTCTCTCTCCAGAGTCTGCTGAAACTTCACCACCCAGACAGGGTCCCATGCCCGTCCTGTGTGCCCACCCGCCTGGCCCCTCTGTCCATGCTGTATTACGAGAACAGCGAGGTGGTGACGCGGCACTTTGAGGGCATGGTGGTGGAGGAGTGTGGCTGCCACTGAGCAGCCTGTGTGCCAACATGGACACCCCATAGGCACTTTCCATCCCAGAAAACACCACTCTGTCCCAGCTTCTGCTCTCAATGTGCAGGCCTCAGGAAGAAAGTTGAGGTGCAAAGGTGTGGGCTTACTATGTGAGTGTAGCCTCAAAGCTCAAGGCTTTTCTACAAGGGCAGCTGCTGCTTTCAGCCATGCTAAACAATGGATATACTGGACACTGAAGCAGACTGAACACAAGCACTGAAAAATATCAATAGAATCACTGATAATACCTGCATACATATATAATGTATAGGGACTAATGATTAAGGCAAAAGCCGATACAAGGACAATGCGGACCCCTAAAGTGCTTTAATTCCTCTGTATGACCCAGTGTTGATACAGATACAGTATTATTTTAAAATGTAAATATTTCATATGAGAAATGTATTTTTTTTAAGGACCGAAATAAGTTTAAAATGTCACATGAACTATTGTTCAATAAATCCTCAAATTACTTCAGTTTGCTTCTATGGTTTACTTTCTGAAAGTTTTATAATATTGTAACACACTTAATAGTAGAGAGAACACACAAGGATGAAATGTAAATGGCACAAAAGTATTTATTTATTTTATTAGTGAGCTTCAATTCCTCTAGAAAAAATATGAAGCAGAATGCAGCCTTAGTTTTTCAATCAACACATTAGCCTACACCAGGGATGGGCAACTGGCCCTTTTGTAGGCCTACGGATAGATTTTTAGGAACTAAGTCAGGTTCTCGACTTACTGTTGAGAGTTAGAATAGTAGAATACACAAGGTCAAATTTTGAAATTTGGTTGTGCATCAGCGGTTTTTCTCATTATGTCAGTCACTCAATTAGCCCATGTCAGCAAACATTTTGATTGTTAAGTTAGCTGGCCGCTAGACTATCTAAACTCGTAGTAATCACGGTCGAATTACCGACCAGGTAATGATCATCAGATATCATATGAAAAACTGCAAACATTTGTCTATGGCAAAATGTGTAGAATTGCAGCAAAGTTGCTTTAAAACTGCTCCAATTTTTTTATTTGGAAGGTGGGAAAGGAGGCAACAAAATCTGCTAGGGCTGGCATGTTGTGAGAGAAAAATTATGTATTTACCTGATTTGTTTAATATTAACAGTTAACAATTATATTCTTAACAATAGTAAGACATTTCTATTCTACCAATGCTGTTCTTCTGAGAAAGGATGGTTCCTCTCTTTCACGTTCACTCCCCGCAGCTGGTCTGGGTGTATCGTCAAGGACACGGTGCGACGACCTGTTATTGTTTCCAACCATCTGGACTTCTGTTCAACTTCGTCACACGGTCAAGAGAAAGAGCCTCTGAGAGTGACCACAGTGTCTCAGTCTATCCTGTTCTTCTCATATCTTTCAAGGGCACAGCTGTGTGGGGATATGAGGTGAACAGAGGCTGGCTTGAACAGAGAGGAGTAACGGAACTAACATTATCACTTGTTTGTTCACTATGACCCGATACACATAGCCACAAGAAGAAAACAAGGTAGCTTATGATGCCCTGAGCTGCCGGGGAGGGGTGGAACCAGCCATGACTAAGCATTTATAGGTCTACTATATAAGATCTCTGTCTCTTTCTGTATGTCGGAGCTCTCGGTCCAACACTCAAGAGTGTGGAGTCGACCAGCCTCATCATTGCAATAATTAATCAATATTAAATAAAGATGATTGTTTGAAGAAATGACAAAGTCTCTCTCACTTGATTAGATTTTCCACCACAATGTGTGGGTATGGATGTGTGTATGCAGAGCCGCGAGCCACTGCGTCCACTCATGATGAGTTCCTCAAAGTTGTCCATCCCTGGCCTACACCAACAGTACTTAACCACAACAACAAATCCTGAGAATGCCATTGGTGTTTACTAAATTCTATTGGAGAACACTAAAACATAATTCAAAGGCTTCATCCTTCAGACAGGACAATTAGTAAATAATATCAAATCAATGGACGAAGGAGTGAGGAGATGTTGCATGTTACTGTTTTTTTCCCTGAGAGATTCGATTTATGACTGCAGATAAATAATGGAGCACCAGGGGGCAGTCTCTTCATTCATTTTATAATGCTGTGTTCATCAAACAAAGGAGACAGCTTAAACACAGTAAAAAACATGAGTCATTCTTTCCTTGTTATCCTCAAGGCTGCAATACTCCAGCAGATCCATCAAATGGCTAAATGTCCATTTCAAATTGAGCATCCTCCCCTGCAAAAACAAGATGAAAACAGTGCAGTAAAATAGCAAAAATGATAGACACTAATATATAACATGCGCGCACACACACACACCAGACCTTTACCTGCACTCTTGTCTGCTGGGGGACTGAGGTTGTTGGGGGTTTGGTTAGGGTGGGCTGTGTCAGTGGTAGTGTTGTCTGAGAGGGGGCTGGTTACCCCTGGGATATCAGGGAGACAGGGAGGGGTGCGGGTCAGAGGGGAGGTTCGACACTCCAGGAGGAACTTCCTGTCGTAGATGATTCGGGTGCCTGGGTGGGTTTGGTGGAGGTCGATTGGCAGTAAGAGAGATCACAAACAGGGTAGATGAAGGCAAATAAGCACCAGATATTAATAATAGTAATGATGAGGATGGTCAACATGTTAAATTGGGCCTATTATTATTGTAGCGATCCTTGCTATATGAGCCATGTTACATTTCCAAACAAGTGAGTTGTATTGGCATAATGTGTAGGGTGTTTGTCTTTCACTCCAGCAACCTGGGTTCGCTACGCTGGTGTCAGATGTGGGATGGCGGCCGTGAGGCCATTAGACCGTTGAGTAGTTGAAGCACGGGGACATGCCTTCCCATTATATGAGGCACCCCACTGGGTGGGCACACACTGGTTGAATCAACGTTGTTTCCACTTCATTTCAATTAAAATTCCCACCAAGTGAGTAAACCCTATTGATACGATGCATAGGGTATTTGTCTTTCACCCAATCACCCAGGGTTCACTTCCCTGCCCCTACATTATTATGATGATTATTATTAAAATAATATATTATTGTATTTACTATTAGGCTATTATGATTGAGTTTCACATACCTCCAGGGGTCGTACTGAAGAGTGTCCCTTCTGGTGTTGTAGAATACTTTTGAGGCATGAGGGCCACATCGTTGATTATGACAGGGTGGGAGGTCGGGATAGCCCGACTAGTCGTATGACTCCCAGTGCCCGAAGACATCCTTCAAACTACGAATAAAACTACTAAACAGCTGTAAACCATGCAATTCGAAAAAGACCAAACGTATAGCTGACGACAGACTGCGCGCAAATTTCACATATAAATGTCACTGTTTTTCTCGTCATTCAATCTTTTCGGATTGGTCGGAAGACCAACTCTACCTCCACGTGCCTCCAATCCTACCACAAAAACATTCAGCGGAAGTGCTCCTCAAAACAACATTGAAAGTAGCGCCAGTTTTAATTGGCAGAAAAACTGGACGTCGTTCCTGCATTAGCCAAAGAAGGGAGAGCTTACAGGGAGTTGTAGTTTTAGTCTAAATAACTTTATGTAAACTGCATGATAGACGTATGATTGTTAAAATAAATAAGGTTTTACATATTCCTGTGAGAGTACATCATTAATATGTAGGCCTAAGTCTTTGAGACAAGGATAAGAACCACTCTCTGCCCGATAACTGTTTTGCACCAATGTACTTACCTTTATACACATACATATAGATTTACAATTTACATTTACAAACGTACATCAATTTACATTTGATTCTCAAACACATCAAAATGTGTAAGAGAACACATCAGGTATGTCCACATCTTTCTTTATTAATTTCTGTAAATGGTTGGAGCTGGTGTACAGAGTAGATGATCTATACATATCTTCATGTCAGAATGAATCTGATTGAAACAAAGGCTTGTATACATATTCACGTTTGTTTTTCCTCCCTCCATGACAATTAAAAAGAAAAGAAAACAAATTGAAATACCTACAAAGCCTCTACATTCCCCATGATGTGGGCGTTTGCCTATACTATAGTCTAGTTAATATGCTTAAAGAACATCCATAACAACTCTATAAGGGTGCATAGCATTCTAATTAAATATATTTTGTAATATATTTATACATAGATTTCCATAAAAACATTTTCTGTGCATGTGCGCAGTTGCATTCCTTAGTATAGAGTAATATGATATTGCGTTAATATTGTCATGTTTCCATTCTAAATGAGTATAGGCGATCTCTATTCTTTGCAACAGTAATTTTACAATATTCTTTAAAATACATTATAATTTCCATGTCCTCATGTTGTGTGCCTAGTTTTAAAACTGTGTCCCTCTCCTCTCCTTCTCCCATCAACCTTTTGAACACCACACGCACACACACACACACTCACACACACGCACACTCGCACACACACTGGTGGAGTCTACAGTTCCCACAGTGCAAAGGCTTGTGGACCGGCTCTATTTTCTGTTTGATCTTGTCAACTTAAAAAATCCAAAACCTCTAAACCCACATGCACAGATCCCCTTCATCTGAGACTCATCAAACATGCTGTACATTCATTTTACATACCTTTTAGGACTGTGGTCTCTATATCTCATCCATATCAGGTCTCAGTGTCTGTAGGCTACCCTTTTATAATCACACTTCACCTGTTACCAATGACCCTTCCACCACATTCTCTCTCTCTCTCTCTCTCTCTCTCTCTCTCTCTCTCTCTCTCTCTCTCTCTCTCTCTCTCTCTCTCTCTCTCACACACACACACACACACACACACAGCTCCCTACCCTACAACCCAAACCGATTCCGCAGCACTCATGTTGACACCCATGCTTCTCTTTCTATAGAGGGCTCTGAACTCAAAAACAGGGCAAAGCTTGGATCCTGCTAGAACTGAAACCTGAGTGGAATAAGAGTGAACGGTTAAGTGATATGTGATATATGTGGCATAACAGATGAGGTTTTAATGTGCACTGATGGGCAGGGAATACGTGTCAGTGATGTGTTACTAATCTATTCACTCAATCATTCAGTCTCATTCACTCCAACTACAGTACATACAAATACAGTAAATAAGTGCTACCATGAGAGATTCATTAATAAGATTCAATGGGTGAAGTTAGCATATCCTGGGTAATATCTGCTACGTTAAGTGCTGGACCAAATCCTTTTCCGAAACCTTTACTATATTGCCCCCCTGCTGCTGCTACGATCCAGTTATCTAGTCTGTGATACCTCTTAATGACACCAGGTGGCATTGCCACCACGCTAATACAACAACATCAAGGTCAGTGGAACAGAGGAGATACCATTGTTGAATGTCAATCGTGAATGCATTGAAAGGATCACATTTGTGAGGGGAAAACCGTTTGCATACCGTCTTGGATTGTACCTTTTGTATACATGCATGCTTCTGATTTGTGTGAACCAATTTCAGACAGAGAAATGCTTTAAATGCTACCATAATGTGCATATACAGAACACCCACCCACTGTACACACACACACACACACACACACATATATATATACACTGTATATATCCCTCCTTGTCTGATATTATTGCTGTGGCAGATACCAAAGTACATAATCTGAGTCTGACCAGGCTTCTCATAACAACTAGAGCACAATAAATACATGACTGTATGTGTGTGTGTGCATGTGTGTATTAGGGATATGTGCAAGTGTGTCTGATATATGTGTGTGTATGCATCTATGAGGTGTTTGTGTCTATGTGTGTGTAAGTTCACAGTACAGGGTACATGGGCTCAGGGGTCAGTGTTAAATGGGGCGATCACAGTGCTATCTGTCAGTCTGTCCTTACTTGCTTAGCTATGCTAATCTCTAGCATCTAATCTAAACCTCCACATATACCTCCATCTCTTTCCCATAAATATGATTATCCACACTGATCATTATTCCCCTATCTGCTTCACCCCCTCAAATCAAAAGCACAATTGAATGTGAACCATAAAAGGACAATGCCATGAGGTGCTACAGCCATAGCAAACAGAGAGAATGAGAGAGAGAGAAAGCGAGAGAGCAGTGCATGAAGATGATTGGGTAGAGATTTAAGTTGGAGCTACAGGAGGTGATGGAGAGGAGTGTGGCGTCAACATGGCAGAGGGGAGGGGGACCCCATGCTACCGTAAATCTGGGATGTGTTGGGCATAAACGTTAGAATACACTGGATGCCACGCAACGCTATCAAGCAACAAACTTTTTTTTTTCCTATCTGGAAAAACATTCCCTTTGTCTGAATAAAGCACACCCTCCTAAAACAGGGGGAGAAAGTTAGTCCCTATCAAAGCCAGACAAAGTGGAACTGGGGTGGTCAGTGCTAAAGAAACACGAGAAGCGTTCACAAACGAAAGACAGCACACGCAGACAGACGCTCACGAGTAGGGGAGCACAGTGGCTTTCTCATTCCCACACTGAGCACACCGTGACATCACAGGAGCACTGACCAACCAGGACACGGCTCAGTGCTAAGCCAGAAGCGAGAGAACACATGCGGTAGAAATACACACACATACACACATACACACAGACACACATCCACAGAGCATAGTGCATATATCACATATAATAACAGGGAAATAGGGTCCAAGTGAGTGAAGCATTGGTAAACTCAGCATTGGATTGACTGTTTCATAACAATCTGTAGAGGGAAAAAAAGACTGTTGCTTTTTTGGCTGTAGTGTTACCAGACTCAACTTGCTAACACCAACCCATCCTTTTTTTTTTTTTTGGGGGGGGGGGGGGGGGGGGGGTCCATAAACTTGCCCCTGACCCAGTCAGTCCTGGGACGACCCCATACCTTGTACCAATTCAGTTTGTAGATAATGACAGTTCAAAGGTCAAAGGTCATGCACCAGCAGTCAATCATGCAATTACAGTTGACAGGAAGCACTTTTTTGTATTTTTTTTTCTGGTTGGATTTTATGAAGTTTTTATAGAAAAAAATCATGCCCTACTCTAGTTAAGTATCTTTTTCATTTTTTTTTATGTTACAAAACTACAAGTAGATCTCCGTCTCGTTTCCTCTTGTTGTGGCGATCCAGGGTCGTTCTGCAGATGATTTTGTGTTTGTATTTGTTGTTTGCAGATCTTAGTCTTTCTTTCAGTCTTCTTTCCCTCTCCTCATCTCTCCTCTCCTCTCAATCTTTTCCCCGTTTTCCTCTGTCACCTGGCTTTGTGTTTGTGGAGGATGGTTTGGCAGTGGATGTCCGGTTCTACGGTACAGAGAAAACAATTATTTCAGTAAAAAGGGAATTATTTTTAACTACTACAATCTCATCACATTTAAAGAAAGGGACAGAGGTAGCCAGACAAGATGAGGAAGAAACAATATATTAAAAAAAATTTTCAGTTGATGAAATAAAAAATTAACGACACTTAAAGATAACCAGAGATTTATTCCCATTCAAAAGTGATGAAATGTAATGTACGCATCCATGCTCTGATGAGAGCTGGCAAACAAATATTATTTAATCTTTCACTTTATAACATTATTGCAAGGGAGTAGTGTGCAGGGGTTGTCATTTACAATAGCCAGTTTAACTTCAACCCTCTCTGGTTGACCAGGGTCTGACAGATACTTCTAAAAACATCTATCAAAGCACTGGAATATGTATATGAGTGCTTATGTGTCCCGTACCTTGAGGACTGGGTATGTGTGTTTCAGTGTTTTACTCTCCGCAGACTGGTGCGCTTCACTGACTGAGCACCCTTCCTTACATCCATCCCCACCTACAGTCCAGCAAGGAGGGAGGGAGCAGGGAAGAAGAAGAGACTCTGAGGAGTTAACACTGATCTACGCGATGTGTATTTGTGAGCGTGTGTGTGTGCATGTGTGTTTGCATGTGTCTATTTGTGAGGGTGTGAATCTATTTTGGGGAGAAATAGTTGTGCAGAAGAGGACAAACTAACCTTCCTAGTGACAACGTTTCCATGTTCGTCTACCAACTGCTCCTCAGCCAGAAACTCAACAGCATAGTCCTCTTTATCAACATCAATCTGTGTCAAAACATCAGGATATAAGACATGAAATTACCAAATGACATTAGTACACAGGTTAACAAACCACATGTTACAGATACAGGTATCCTGTGTGTGTTTTTGTGTTTTTCCTCTCCTTCTGCCCTAATCACAGGTGTCCTTTATGTTCCTGATTGGTGGTCGTTGGGGTGTCCCACCTGTCCGACATCCGTTTGGCTGCTGATTGCTGAGGTGGACCAATCAGTGGACATTCCTCTGTATTGCACCACCTGTTTCTGGTTTTTCACTTACACCTCCCATTGTTTTAAAAGCCAGTCAGTTGTGTTTGTAGAGAGAGACTATTTTCTGTATGTGAGTATGGATACTGTGGTGTCCTGTGTTTTATGTACTCACTCATTTGCTGGTTACTCTGTTTGGTAACTTTGTTGTGTGTTTCTGGGAAAAGGGGGATTTAAGCAAGTTGCCCTTGGGCATACATTACCCGTAGGAAGAAAAATGTCTAAAAACACTAGTTAGACCTGAGCGGACCACCCCACTGTAATTTTTGTATGATTAGCAGTAGCTTAGCGGTTCTTGAGGCAGGCAAGATCAGTTTAGTTTTTTTTTTACACTATTGTTTCATTTCTTGGGTCCTGCTCAGCCCTTTTTCCCAAACCTTTACCGTGTGTTCAAAATAAACATTTTATGTTTGACGGTAGCTTATGGTTGTCGGTGTATTTTTTGTTCTCACTGTTTCCATGTCACGATTCTAATTTGCATGAATTATGTTACGGGTCTCTTGTCCATCCACCCTAGACGTTTAAAGCCACGGGGTTCGTAACACCACACAACACATCTTTGCCCCATTAAGCCAATTTCATATGATGATGTGACATAACATCAAAATTTGGGTTTTGATGGTTGGAAGTTTTATGATTGAAACCAAATTAAAAGATTATCCTATTTATCGCAGGCATGGACAGGAAGTCCCTCCTCCAGGCACAGGAAGCGGCAGGTGGTCGGTCGGTGTGACAACCTGGAGCCCTGCCTCTTGGTGTGAGAAGCCCAACCCCTTGTCGAAGGGCTGCGTCCCAAACAGGTGCCTGCACAGCACCTCCGAGTGCCCCATGTCACACACCGGCATCAGCAGAGCCTCCTCGGTAACACACGACCTTGGTGACATCATCAGCGTCTCCACACTCTGTCGGGGCAGCCTGGGTGTCTGCGACCCCGCCCAGCCGCGCAGGGAGTCCTTGTCGGGTAAGTACGGCTGGAATGCACCGCCCCCAACCACCCTGAGAGAGAGGGGGCGAGGGAGACGGGGACAGAGAGACGAAGAAGAAAGAGGAGCAGAGAGACAGAGGTGCGAGTAGGAAAGAGAACAAGACAGACAGACAAAAGACACAAAAAGAGAATGCCATAATGGATTGAGTTTTGAATATGGATTCAGTACACACATACAGAGAATAAGGTCTGTCTGGCTAGACCAGTCTGAACCCCTGACTGAGTCTCACCTGTTGTCTCCGTTGTGCTCCATGGCTCGGCTCAGTCCTGACATCTCACACAGCTGGGCGTAAACCTGCTGCCCTGCAACAACAGAAAGCCCTTCCTCTGAACTCTGTCTTAGTCCTCCTCCTCCCCTCGCTCCTCCTCCAGTCACACTGCTGCCCGCCACTGATGCTGCTACCTCCACCTTCCTGCCCTCCGACCTCTGACCTCCCAGCTGGCCATTCAGGTTGACCTTTGGCACGGCACCACTGGCCCTCACCCTGTCCCTGTCCGCCAGCGCCGGCTCCTGCCGCACCTCCTCCACCTCCTCTACTTCCCCTTCCTCCTCTTCCTCCTCCTCCAGCTCCATGATGGAGCCACTGGCCCCACTGCTGGGCCGCCCCAGGCTGCAGGGCAGGGACAGGGTGGCCCCCTCTGAGTCATCAGCTCGGCTGCTGCCATCCAGGGACGAGTCCTCCACTGTGACCAGGGAGGGGCTGACCCCCGAAGGCCACACCTGCACGTCCGACATCTCCATCAGGGTGTCTTCTTCGGTGGTGGCGATTGGGGCACACTCCATGCTGGAGACCTCCTGCCAGTAGGGCTCAGCTCCCAGTGGAGAGGGCAGACTGTACTGCATGGAGGCTGGGGAGAGCAGCTCCTCCTGCACAAGCCCGTAACCTGGGAAGGAGGCGAGATAAAGAGAGAGGGAGACTAACACCACGCAGGTGCAGTGGTGGGGGAGTTAGGGGAGGGTTAGACAGGGATGTGGGTGTAGTGGGACTGTTTCTCTGCAGGAAACAGAGGGGCTCTATCCAGTGTCACAATATGCTGGGAAAGAGAAAGTGACTAGATTTGTTTTCAATACTTCCAGTTCCAAGGAGGCACACATACTCACTGGCACCTTCTTGGAATCGGTTGTAGTGAAAAAATCTAATCACTTTCCAAATGTTTAGTCTTGTCTCACTTTCCATGAAAAACAGTGATTTTGAAGACCACTGATCTATTGATGATCCATCAGTGGTTCTGATGGAGAGAATGTGTGGAAAGGAAGCAGTTTTACAGTATTGGGAAACAGCTTGATGTTCACCCTGAGAGTAGCAGGTGTTATATTAGGGAATAGGGGGATAGAAGTGGAGTCTCGTCCATTGTCTGTGGGAAAGGGGTAGTGGTTGAAAATGTCATCCAAGATAGGAAGAGAGTGGGGTGTTTGGGGTCAGTTGGGTTGGCACGATAATCGATACTAACAATTTACCACGATAAACGTGTTCAACGATACCTATGATACTGAATTTCATTATGTCCTTGTTATCGCAATATAATTTTCAATTGTTCTAAATTGGCTATTGGCAACAACATTTAGATTAAAATACATCCACCTTCCTCAAAAAGGGTTTATTGTCTGATAAAGTGTCCCTTCAATGTCTATTATCGTGATAAAAACTGATTATCGTGATACTATTATCATTGAGATATCAGGATACAAAATTCCATTATCGTTCCAAACCAGATCACAAGTGAGAGGGTCAGGAGGATGTCGATTCTGCTGAGAAAATTGGAAGTTGCTTGCACTTGCTCTCACCTCCACACAAACATATACACAAGCGCGCACACACACACACACATTACACACTCAAACAGGACACACAAATTCAACACACACTCACAGAACTCACACTCACACACACATTCACAAACACAATTTTACTTCCAAAAATAGGTTTATGTTGTGAAATTGATTTGATTTGTTGATCTATATTTCAGTGTAAATATGCTTTTATGTGAGTTTCTAATTGTAGGCAAAGCTGTAAATAGAGCCCGCATTTCTGCTTGTAAGTTCATCTCTGTCTGGCTGTCCATCCATCTGCCCATCCGTCTGTCCGTCCGTCTGTCTGTCCGTCTCCCATCATCATGCATGACTTTCTCTGTTCTGTCTATCTTAAAGGTAGACTCAGCGATATGACGTAGATGAAGAAAGTAAACGGCATAGTGGGTCAATTTCCATAACAACTAAGAGCGTTGACGCACAAGGCTCAACTTCTCTGCTGTTTTGGTCACATGGCTACCACGCTGTAGCAGCGTGAAGCGAACCCGTGCACATGCGCAGATACGGTGTGTGACTGTGTGAGAGCAAAGTCTTGCATCTCGCTCATCTCAATACCTGCGGTGCTGCTCGTGGCAACATCAGTTTGCTAAGTCTACCTTTAAAAAGCCTTTCACTGTCTCTCCTTTGTATATCTCTCTCTTGAGAGTCTGTGTTGTAGGTGATAATGAGTATGTTGTAATGTGGTAATAAGGTGAAGAAGGAACTGAAGTGTTCATGGACACTGGAATATTGAATGAAGTTTGGCTTCATTTCTTTCAGTGTTTATGCCTACGGCCAATAGTATAACTGTAAAAGTGTGTTAGTCTGTGTGTGTGTGTGTTTCTGGGATGGTATAGAGATGGTACAGTATAGAGACGGTAGAGGTGAGGATAATGAGGGGTAGAGATGCACTTTGAATGAAGCAGATTATGGAGAAATGAGTTTGAATTATGATGGTTTATCTGGGTTAGTCCTTAATGTACCTCCCAATTTAAAGACACTTACGATACAACACATAGTGAAGCACAACAACTCCACATAGATTGTAAATCTGCAAACACACAAACACACACACACACAACACAATGCACAGCACTATCCACTTATGTACAACACACACGCAAACGAGACACATGAAAACACACCCACAGTTCACAGGTCACTGTACTCGTGAACACACACACACACCCAGGCACACACACTCCACCACACCACACCATAGAACACAGCAGCTAGCACATAACATTCTAACAATGTATCTGTAACATTATGACAACGTTGTCTTAATGACAAAGCTGTCATGTCACAGCTACATTATTTTGAGAACATTATGTGCTGTGCAGTCAACCATGGGTTACAGCCTAGCATAAAATCAACACCATAGAGTTAACAGAAAACTACTGAGATTGAAGGTGTTAATACAGCATTTAAAACAAGTTTGACAATACAGAGAAACAAGAGAAAGTAAAATACACATAGAGAAATAGTCATACAGAAAGCATGCCATGCAAATACACAGTTCTTATTCCAAAACAGCAAACCTTTATTTTGACACCCCTCCACCCCACATCAACACTGACCCTCCCAGAACCTAGAGAAATACACTTTTCCCTGATGCGAGACACAGAGAGAGGCAGGCAGCATGCACATGCATCGACACAGCGCTACTTCGAGAGAGGAGGTGAGGGTCCCGCTGGACTGAACACGAGAACGCGGGAAAATAAGATGACAGGAGAGAGGAGAGGCCCAGGAGGTCAACATGAGGTCGATATGAGGTCAGAGGTCGAAGTGGAAGAGCTGTGAGGAGGAGGAAGAGGAGGGCGGCTGGGCAGCAGATATGACATGTCACAGACACAGAGAGAAAGAGAGAGAGAGGGACAGATCTAGGAGAGACAGAGGGGAGTAACAAAGGAACAAGGTATGGAGGCCCAGAGCACACAAACTGTGTACTAGTGCCACTTAGGAAGGGAGTGTTCATCCCAGACACACACACACACACACACACACACACACACACACACACACACAAACACATATACGCATCCATGCATATCTGACTCATCCATATGCCAGACTTAAACCCCAAACACAGTTAAGATGTATGTTTTAGTCTGTCCTAATTAACTGAATGTGTAGAACTGTGCCATTTCAAATTACATTTGTCTTCAAGTTTTATCTTCATATCCCATATAATGTCATGTGAGACCTTTATGTTCAGGCCTAAAGCATGAACAATGAGGGTGGAACAGTGAAACTGAAACGATGGCTGTCAGCAAAATGCAGTAAGGAAATGCTTACATGCTGACATACAGTGGGGAAAAAAAGTATTTAGTCAGCCACCAATTGTGCAAGTTCTCCCACTTAAAAAGATGAGAGAGGCCTGTAATTTTCATCATAGGTACACGTCAACTATGACAGACAAATTGAGAAAAAAAAATCCAGAAAATCACATTGTAGGATTTTTAATGCATTTATTTGCAAATTATGGTGGAAAATAAGTATTTGGTCACCTACAAACAAGCAAGATTTCTGGCTCTCACAGACCTGTAACTTCTTTAAGAGGCTCCTCTGTCCTCCACTCGTTACCTGTATTAATGGCACCTGTTTGAACTTGTTATCAGTATAAAAGACACCTGTCCACAACCTCAAACAGTCACACTCCAAACTCCACTATGGCCAAGACCAAAGAGCTGTCAAAGGACACCAGAAACAAAATTGTAGACCTGCACCAGGCTGGGAAGACTGAATCTGCAATAGGTAAGCAGCTTGGTTTGAAGAAATCAACTGTGGGAGCAATTATTAGGAAATGGAAGACATACAAGACCACTGATAATCTCCCTCGATCTGGGGCTCCACGCAAGATCTCACCCCGTGGGGTCAAAATGATCACAAGAACGGTGAGCAAAAATCCCAGAACCACACGGGGGGACCTAGTGAATGACCTGCAGAGAGCTGGGACCAAAGTAACAAAGCCTACCATCAGTAACACACTACGCCGCCAGGGACTCAAATCCTGCAGTGCCAGACGTGTCCCCCTGCTTAAGCCAGTACATGTCCAGGCCCGTCTGAAGTTTGCTAGAGTGCATTTGGATGATCCAGAAGAGGATTGGGAGAATGTCATATGGTCAGATGAAACCAAAATAGAACTTTTCGGTAAAAACTCAACTCGTCGTGTTTGGAGGACAAAGAATGCTGAGTTGCATCCAAAGAACACCATACCTACTGTGAAGCATGGGGGTGGAAACATCATGCTTTGGGGCTGTTTTTCTGCAATGGGACCAGGACGACTGATCCGTGTAAAGGAAAGAATGAATGGGGCCATGTATCGTGAGATTTTGAGAGAAAACCTCCTTCCATCAGCAAGGGCATTGAAGATGAAACGTGGCTGGGTCTTTCAGCATGACAATGATCCCAAACACACCGCCCGGGCAACGAAGGAGTGGCTTCGTAAGAAGCATTTCAAGGTCCTGGAGTGGCCTAGCCAGTCTCCAGATCTCAACCCCATAGGAAATCTTTGGAGGGAGTTGAAAGTCTGTGTTGCCCAGCGACAGCCCCAAAACATCACTGCTCTAGAGGAGATCTGCATGGAGGAATGGGCCAAAATACCAGCAACAGTGTGTGAAAACCTTGTGAAGACTTACAGAAAATGTTTGACATGTGTCATTGCCAACGAAGGGTATATAACAAAGTATTGAGAAACTTTTGTTATTGACCAAATACTTATTTTCCACCATAATTTGCAAATAAATTCATAAAAAATCCTACAATGTGATTTTTCTGGATATTTTTTCCTCATTTTGTCTGTCATAGTTGACATGTACCTATGATGAAAATTACAGGCCTCTCTCATCTTTTTAAGTGGGAGAACTTGCACAATTGGTGGCTGACTAAATACTTTGTTTCCCCACTGTATCACTGGGTTATGATGGAAATCGCATCATTCCTCAGCCGTTAATCAAAATCCCTTGAGAATCATCAGCAGCGATCAACCATGCAGCCCAATATCCACTTACCCCTTCTGAAAAATGGATGCCTAATAACTTGTGGCTTGTAGACTACAGGTGGACAACCTGTGTCCATGATCTCTTGTAGAGCA